GAGGTAGAGGTAGGAAAAGCAGTCCTTCAAGGCTACCTTCAGCTGTATATTGCAAGTTCCAAGTCAGCTTAGGCTACATGAGGCCCTGCTTTAAAAAAAAAAAAAAAAAAAAAAATCCCAACAGGCAGTGGTGGCACACACCTTTAAACCCAGCTATGAGGAGGCAGAGGCAGATGGATTTCTGTGAGTTCAAAGCCAGCCCGGTCTACAGAGTGAGTTCCAGGACAGCCAGAACTATACAGAGAAACCCTGTTTTGGGGAGAAAAAAAAAATCCAAAGCCAAAATCGGCACAACGATATTTTAGCAATAAGAAGCTAGGAGCTTCTGAGTTTGTGTCTTAGCCTGTGAAACAATGGTGCACATGAAACTCGAAAGAAACAAAACTAAGTCCATACTCTTCATGTTACCAATAGAAAGTAAGTGCCTTGTCTGGGGCACTGCTCCACTTTTGAGTGATCTTAGGACAGAGAGGATGACTGTTGAAGAACAGCTCACCGAGAGCGTGAGGCCTTTCACTAAGTCTTATTGCTGCTAATTATTCACTCTGGCCTAAGAGAACTACTATGAAGCCCTGCACTTCAATTTTCTCTATACTGGGAAAAGAGTGAAATGAAAACTTCTTTCGTCTAGGGCAGTGGTTCTCAACCTGTGGGTCATAACCCATTTGGGTTCAAGTGACCCTTTCATAGGAATCACCACACAGACCATCACAAAACAGATACTTATATAACAATAACAGTTGGAAAGTTTTAGTTATGAAGTAGCAACGAAAATAATTTTATGGTTGGGGGTTACCGCATGAGAAACTGTAGTAAAGAATCACAGCATTAGGAAGGTTAAGAACCACTGGTCTAGGGCCATCAAGAATGCTCAGTGGGTAGCCAGGCAGTGGTGGCACACGCCTTTAAATCCCAGCATTCAGAAGGCAGAAGCAAGTGGATCTCTGAATTTGAGGCCAGCTTGATAGCCAGGGCTAGGCAGAGAAACCCTATCTCAGGAAAATAAATAAAGTTCAGTGGGTAAAGGTACCTGCTACCAAGCCTCACAACCTGAGTTTCATCCCCAGAACTCATGGTAGAAGGTGAGAACTGACTCCTGAAAGTTGTCCTCTGAACTCTACATATGTGCTACACACAAAATAAACAACTAAATACATGAACATGATTTGGTGGGGTATAGTGTATGGAAGCCCTCAATTCAGAGTCCACCACTTGTCCAGGGGACCGTGATTGTGGATATAGTTGACCCTGTAGCTATCAAGAATGAATGACTTCTCCACCACCATGTCTTCAAATTAATCTGCATTAAACTTGGTGAAGCCCCACTTCTTTAATATGTGGGTATTCTGGTAGCCCGGGAAATTGAAGTTGGCTCTAGGCAGGGCTTCAAACACGTGTTCCTTATTCTGCAGCTTAGTGTAGATTCCCATGATGACCTGGCCACTGTGAACACTGTTCACTGTACCCTGAGGCTTCCCAAAGGCAACCTGCATACCTGTCTGGAGCCTAGATTGGGAGCAGCATTGAGATCAGAGATGAGAGTAGCCACCGGGAAATTGTCCCCAAGGTCCCTTAGAAACAACCATATAGGCAACGGCTGTGTGCGTGCTCAAGGAGGCTGCTGTTCACAGACACTGCACACCAGATAGATGTAATTTTTAAAGGTTAAAAAAGAAAAAAAAATGGGATTAGACCATATCTGGTTTTTTTTTTATTAGAAAAGGAGCCAGGAAGTGGTGGTGCACACCTTTAATCCCAGCACTCAGGAAGCAAAAGCAGGCAGATCTCTGAGTCTGAGGCCACTCTGGTCTACAGAGCGAGTTCCAGAATAGCCAGGGGCTGCACAGAGAAAACCTGTCTCAAAAAAAAAAAAAAAAAAACCCACAGTAAATAAAAACA